ATATATATATACATAAAAATTAAAAATAAATGATACGAATAAAAAATTAATTCAAAAAAATTTGAATTTTTTAATATTATTCTCTAAACACTAACTAATAGAGTGCGCTTGAGATGTATTAGTAAATGTTGGGATCTTCTACCTTCATCGTTTGTTAGACGTAAAACAAAGATGACATAAATAGTGCTAATAGCGTCTCTCTGACCGCATCTATAGTAAGATAACATTGATGTTATTATAGATGCGGTTATAATTTTATTTCTAGTATAATTTTAATTCTGGATAGTAGTTACATTATTTCTATTTATTGCTAGATCTGAGACTAGAACAGAAATTTTTGACTTGTTCGTCATATAATAGTATCTTTTGGATTTTCACAGGATTGGTATTCAACAAAGGGGCAGATTCTTGTGATTATCCGCGTAACGTAATTTGTCCCAAGACGTCGAAAACATCGATCGTCTCTACCACTAGATCGCCCATTACGGCCGCGACAAGTCGAACAACTTACTTGCACAGCACAACAACCGCAAAAGTGGAATCGGAAGAGTACGATTCAGAAGAAGATGACAATCTAGAAGAAGATGATGAGATCGAGGAAAACGAAGAAGTGGAAGAAGAGGAGGAGGAGGAGGAGAAAAGTAAAGAAGAACCGGTGACTACTACGACAACGAGACCGCTCGTGTATAAAACACTCACCAGAAATAAATCAAGTACCACTACTACAACGACTACTTCGAAACCAAGTGAACCAGAAAGAGTTGACAGCGAAGACGAGGAAGATCCAAAGGTTATCAAAGAACTCATCGATCTTATCAAAAAAGCTGGCAAGTATAAGTTTGTTAAACATAGGTACATATAACTACAATGTATTTACTTTCTAATGATTCTATAATATTAACACTTCCCCTACAATTAAAATAATAATTCTAGTAAATTTAATATTCTTTTTTTTTATATTATCTTTTATGATATTGATTTCTGTGCAATATTTTTTATGATATTGATATATCTCTTCTGCTAGGAAATCTTTTGTACTATATTTTAAAATAAATACAATAATTTAAAGAATTCTTTTATTTTAGGCGGAATAGAAGAGTTGGAAAAACAATTGCTATTTCAAGAAAAGAGTTCGGATACCAAATCAGACAGCGAAAGTGTCACTCCGGCTACAATTAGTCGTAGTTTATATGAACGTGTACTAAATCGTCAAACGAACAGAATTGGTAATCATCGACCCGTGTTATCATCCTCAGAAACTAGTTACGTGAACGGGCCAGGAAGAGCACAGTTCGAAGGTTTGGACGATATCCCTGAAGTGAAGAGTCTCAGACGTTCACAGAAACCTCAATATGTCACCATCGAAAGATCCAAGTCAGTCACTTGTTCGATTATTATTAGTAAAAATGTATATCACACTTTCTTTATATTGATTATATTTATTAAGTTTAATTAATTTCCATCGTGGTTTTTTCTTTCTGTTAATCATAATTTTGAAGAGAAGCAGAAAATTAAACTGAGACTAACATTGATAAAACTAAATAAATAAAACAACAATGGGCAAATTGTTGCGCAGAAAATTATTCGTTATAATGAAAAATCTTTTTATTATTAGTAAATAGATTCTATTAATTTTTAATTATAGCGAATTTAATTTTCTGTGCAACATTTTCCGTACTTGACTCAATTTTATATGCCTATTGTTGTTTTGTTATTTAATTTTATTAGGAATTTGTTTCTTAAGTTAATCGTTGATAAAACTAATTTTATAAATTATAAAAAATGTTTAATTCATGTATCTTTTAATTACAATTCTGATATTGATTAGATCGATCACGAAAGAATCTTTATCCGAGAACGAAGATATCAATGAGGACGAGGAAGATAACACTGATGTAGCTTCCTCTGAGGGAAAAAGTATCAGTAACCCGTTAGAAGATAGCTTATCCATTCAACGAGTGACGCCAAGTTACGTAAATATTCGACGAACGCGACCGTCTACCACGACGTCTAAGTAAGATAATTGACAAAATAAATGATTTATCTCATATATTATAAAAATATTGTATAGTATCTCTCACGATATGAAATTTTCAGAATCGAGAATGACGTGGAAGGGAAGGAAATTGAAATTGAGGAGGAAAAACCGACTCGCAGACGACGACCGATCATTTCTTCAAAGTAAACATATTTTCAATAATACAATTATACGCGCTGTTTTATTAAAAATTTATTAAAAATTATTAATATTACGTAATAATTATTTTTAGACAACATGATAATGAAGCAAACTCTGAAACGTCTAAACCTTTTCGAAATCGTGATTCAGGTTTCATGTACAAGAAAAAAATTGTAAATATATGATAACATAATATAATTATATAATATGTATAATATATATTTATAAATATGTATATTACGGTATATACATTTATTACTTTTATAAGATTCTTATTTCTTATAACAACTTTAGAAAATCAGAGAAAAGAGAAGATAAAAGCACGAATCAATCAGCAGACAAAGACAATGATTCATCAACAACCAAAACTAGGTTTCTATACATAATTATTTGCTACAATACTTTTATATTACTATGCATTTCACGTTTTTATTCATTTTTTAGGTACTCCAACATACAAAGATTCAGAAGTACCACTTCAAAAACTTCGGAAGGGTTGTCTAGCATAATACCTTTATCGGAGATTAGCGAGACGACTTCACCGAAATTAGAGGAGTATCCAGAAGTATCCAGGAAAACAGGTAGTACGACCGTTTCGTTGTCTACGACGCCTGCAACGACAACTTCGACTTCCACCGAGGTTATCATCACAATTAGTGTCGAACCGCCAGAAAATCCATCTAATGTTAGCTCTAGAGCGGACATCGACTCCACCACTGACTCGATGAAATTGGTGGAAGATTCGGCGACGGAGATCTTATTTACAACGTTGCCGGCAATTAGCAGTAGTTCAAGCCAGTCGACGACGACAACAACAACGACATTAGCAAGCAGATCGACGATCGCCGCGGTGTCGCAACCGCGACCGTTCGGTTTTACCAGACGAAGATCCGGTTCATTAGAAGCGACGACGACGGCTACGACCCCATTGAGCAGGTCCAAGGTGAGTACTACACCGCGAAATTCTACGCGTCCGTCCAATCCGGTTCTGGGG